CACCGGACCAATTTAAACTGCATTTTTTCCCTCAGCCTGAGGAAAGATACTTGGTATTAAAGCCTGAGTTCCACAGTGACACGTCGGTGAATTCTCGGAATTGTCATCGTAGACAGCAGGCACATCGTAAGACATCCGGGCAAATCAAAGCACGTTGTGTAGAACATCGCTTACATCTGTGATCGGTGGTATTTCATTACAGATAACTAGTGGAGAAAGACAGAGACACTCGGTTGACCACCCATCACATGTTCATATATGCACGCCGAGTTGCGGTCCATTCATACGGATTCCAACACTCTATGCGAGCATTTTTTACAGCCAGATTTCCACCCACTCAACGTATGATTTGTGCAAACCCAAACGGGTTTCCGATCGCGGTGGCCCACAATTCACCTAAATCTTATGAGATTTCCCAACGGTTTTTTCTTGATTTTTATGCCGAGCACCTCGGCGTCCCCGAAATCGAAGTGTGATTTTTTCACACTTGGCGTGTTATAAATTCTCGTTGAGCAGGCAAGATTTGGACGATACGAGTACTTCAGTGGCTTGATAATTGAATTAGACAATTTCCTATTTACACGCAACCTGTACAAATAAGTGGATTCTTGAGAAACAAATTCGTCTGACTTGGCTCCACACGCCAAAACCGGAAACGTGACACCCCTAGACATACAGGTCTTATGATCATCGCCTCAGAGCAGCGGAAAGGAGTTGGAACTGGTGAGCCAAAGTTTAGTTTCCTAGGACGCTTCAGTTTCAGCCTGGGCGGACAGATTCCAACCAAGGACAATGGAGTGAGGAATGCCACTGACTTACCAGCAATAGGCAACACTCCAGTGATGACCGTTATGTGTGAAACACATTCAAGCTTTGGTTTCAAAGTCAACATGCTAACCACGTCGCAGTTCCTTGGCACCAAAGTATAGGGCGATTCAAACCCGCTGTTGCGCCCTTCAGATGCAACTTATGCGGTTAGCGCGAAGGCAGATAGGGCGGTTGAGCAGGACGTTTCATACGCATGTGCTAAAAATATCACGGAAATAGGCCCAGCTACAAAGAATCTTCCGGTTACCTGCTTCTAAAAATAATGCCTATTTCAAACTGATTTTTTCTCATCTTTCCCGGCCAGTTTTTTGAATAATTTGATCATGAGTGGCCTGAGTGAAAAGTTGTATACTACTGATGAAGCATGCGAGTAGCGCCTGGTCTGGTGTCCAAACACCGCCACCGCATCTGATGGAAGGTAAAGGTCACTGCGGAAATTATCCAATTGCTTTGCAGCGTTCGTTCATCAATGTTTAATATTCAAAGAATATCCAGGGAATCCAAGAGGAAGCTTGAGGATGTTTAATTTTCAAAAACTGTGCAGATATGATATTTACTTTCGTGTCTAATGGCTTGCAGCCGCTAAATTTGTGTTTACCAATAGGCAACTTCGCAGCGAAAGGCGTTCGGCCTTTCACGAGTAAGTGATCAGCGGTGTCCAGGTTGCACGAAAATACATGTTCAAATGGTATGTCAATTTACGCCGATGCTGGACTCACGACACAATAAGAATAGTCCACAAATGATCAGTGCTCAAACTACTAACCGCGGTGGAGACTACCTACTGCAGTTTTTGTCATACTGACAATTCCAAATATGGATGAAACAACTGAACTCTGCTTCTCCGCTGTTCAGCACAGTTCGACTCAGCTTACCGGACAAAGTAACCATTACAAATTCCAACATTTACGGTCTTCATCTGGTCTTCTGGTCTTCTGGATGGTTTCATTTCAGCTTCACACGTGAATTCTTCGGGCGCATTCGAATTTTGAATTATAACCACTAAGCCTTCAGCTTTATGCGTGGTGTGATCAACACTCCAGGTGTTCAAGCAAGCCAAAATACTGGCTCCTGAGAATATCTCGTGGGTCTGAGAAGGCATCAAAGATTGTGAGGTTCCAATCCAAATCTACAGACTGCCACCATCACTACATGGAACGGAGCAGAATGGTCACTCAGGAATCCCATACTCTAGCGTACTAGTCTGAGTGCTCACTTTGGATGATACCGTGTCCACT